TGGGTGGCACATTTCTCAACATTGTATGACGCCCCTGTAGCTCCCTACAATGAGGAAGATGATTCCATTGCCTTAGATTTACCACCGTGGCCTCCAGTGAGCACAGACAAAATCATCGAATTAATTGATCTAAAATAGATGTGTCTGCAGGGTGTAATCAAAAAAGTCAAGATAGCAGCCAAGGTGGTGCAAATCAAAGCTGCACCTGATGTTTATGTGCATCACACATGTAGGCAGAACTTTGATTGCACCATTGTGGCTGCCGTCTTGACTGTACTGTACAGTTGCCCCTGCTAAGGTTGATACCCACCTCAGTTTCAACAAGTGAGATGAGTTCATAATCCCAAACAAAGTTAATGCTGTCCCTTTACTGTTACATGTTCTGGGACTATTCAGAAGGGCTATGCTGTGCTTTGGGTCTGATTCCAAAAAGACGTCTGAAGTGTCACATCTTTTCCTGGGATCAGGTGGCACCCACAAAAGGCAGCTATATGATCCTGAGAAAGACATGGCTATCTTAAGATATAGCAGATGGGTGCCATGTTTGTGCTCCCATACACTCCAAAGCCCCTTTTTGGAACTGGATCCGAAGTGCTGCACAGCCTTGCCATTTTGTATTCTTAATGTTTAAACAGAAGAAAAGTGGTATGATTAATTTTAACTTAACAAGAGATTTATAGCATAAGAAAAAAACATGTAACACTCTCTGAATTAATTATCTAGCTACATACATTGCCAGATGCTAATTTGGCATTTAACTGTCAAATATAACACCAAAGTTAAGAACTTTTAAAACCCATTAAATAAGAATATTAAACTTACGCTAGCTCATAGTCATAGAAATCAATGGGACATAAAAGTGTTCAACCTTTGATTATTGTTGCATAATATCTCACTCCACAATATAAAACCATTTAGAATTTGATATGTAGCAGGAAGGTCATAACAGCCAAACTGAACACACACAATGTGCTATAATTAAGCAAAGTTGGAACTTGGCAGGAATCTTCAATATTTAAAAATTCAGTACGCACTGATTATCTGAACACAAAATTAGACAAAAAACTACAGAACCCATTAAATAAACACCAATGAAAAAGATTAGGTAAACAAAAACATTAGATTCTGTCAAAGGATTTTGTATTTATAAGGTATGTATAACATAATTGTTCCTTACACTCACATTCTCAAATTTCAAGCATTTCCCTGAAAAGCTGGCCATTTGGTAAGGAGGAGAGGTGACCAATATAGCTATAAATGCTGCTTATGAGAGAAAAGAAAAATCTCAAATCACTGACTTTTGGTCAATATCTGATTGCTTTTGAAGCAAATTTGGTCTTTTAACTTCAACTTGAAAGCTAATTATGTTTTTACTTAGCCTCAGCTGATCTCACATTGCCCTGACATTTTGCTTACTCCTAACAGCTTTTCAGGAATGTTTCACCAAAGTTAGTAAAAAGGTCAGTTCTCAGAAAAAAATGAAAACAACAAATCTGAATTGTCACATGGATGGGGCTGGCTCTGTCCTGTAGTAAACAAAATATATGAGAGCCAATCCTACTGTACAGGATGCAGTTCTCGAGTTATGACCATTCATTCAGCGACCATTTGAAGTTACAACAGTGCTGAAAAAGTGGACTTATGCCTGGTCCTCAAAGTTTTGGTCATTACAGTGTCCCCGTGGTCATGTTATTGTGATCTGGGTGCTTGGCAACCCATTCGCACTTACGACCGGTTGCCAAGCACCCTGTGATCACATGATCACCATTTGCTACTTCCCTGCTGGCTTCCCACAAGCAAAGTCAATGGGGAAGCCAGCAAGGGAGGTTGCAAGTCACTCGGGTAAGTCTCCCCCCCCCGCCCCGGCCTTTCGTCATTTGCATGCACTAGCGCCCTCCTTCCCTCTCTTACCTGCACTCATCTGTTATTTCTGAAGTTTCCTTGGAACAGATGGTGTTAGGTAGCTGTGCACCACAATCGCTAAGCATCACTGCTGCTCTTTTGTTCTTACCCCCAGCCTGATCCAAGCAGTGTTGGCTAACCTCAGAGTAGGAAAAAGCTTTGTTTTCCTTCTCCCTTATGAAGGAATTCCAACCAACTGTAAATGATTCAATTTGTTAATTTCATTAGGGACCTTAGAGACAACTTGCTCTGAAAAGTTGGATAAGCAACAAAGCAGTCAAAGGATAGATTACCCTCCATCCCATATTCTAAGAACGAATTTACCAATATTATCAAATACAAGCAGCTCTTCTACCTCATCTTTTTTATGTATCTTAAGGTACTTACTTAAGCTAGCCTAAAATATTAAAGAAATGTGATGTAGCCCTTCTGAGATGTCAGAATGCAAGCAGGGAACCACATATCTGAATACTTGTTAACTTCACATTCTTATTATGCCCAGAATGGAGACTTTAGACTGGTGAAATTTGACTTTATGGTCCAAATCCTTGGAGTTGCTCTATTTGTAATGTAACTTTTAGGGTCTTTCGTTTTTCCTTCTTATATTACTCTTTATACATTTTGAGAATGGGTTGATCCTTTAATGCTATTGTTTGCATTTGTATTTTTTATTTTGTTAATTGCTTCAGCATTGTAAATTGGAAGACAAAGAAATCTGACTATACACAGAAAATTAACGTATCAGACAGAAGGCAGTGCATCACCTCTTCTCTGTTGTATGCAGCTTTTCATCAGCACTTAAGCTAGCCTAAAGTTTTTAAGGAGGAGGAACATTCTTTCATGCAACTTCATTCATTCTGAAGTGGTGAATTTGCATAAGCATATAACTATTTCCCTTCTTCAGAAAGCATATAGGTTGATCCTCCAGGCTAAACTGAACACAAGATATATTTCCATGATTCTTTTCCCAGCAAAGCATCTATGGGAAACTGGACCTTGAACAGAAGACCAGAGATACTGGAAGGGAGAAACAGTCTGACTTCTTAAAATTTCTCCTAATCCCTCCTTCACCCTCCTTTTCCAAGCTGTTCTTCCCTACCTGAGAGGAAAGAGGGATGGTAAACAGTGTTGCCCATTTTAATAAAGAATATGAAGTTATTTACAGAGCAAAGTAATGGATAGAGGGAGGGGTAGAGCCATTACCTCAATTTGAACATCTCCTCTTGATGACTCTGGTCTATAAGCTAGAATGGTAGGTGGGCCAACACTGGAAAGTGTGCGCAGGGATTCTTGAAAGAGTTTTAAGAAGTCTTCTCTAAACTTAAAAAAAGAAAAAGAAATAATGTATTGCAAACCTCAAGCCACTTGTCCAAAATATTCCTGCAGCAATTATTGCAGAATAAACAATCTCGGTTTTTATTTAACGGTGGGGATAGGGATGGGGGTAGGAAGACTAAAATGAGAATAGGTTTCAAATAAAATGTATAGAGACCACATATGATCAATACCTCTGTGTCGCACAAAATGTCTAAGCAGCTAAGATCTTGGGGCACGACAGCATAGATATCTAGGCATTAACAATAAGGATTAGTTAGGAAATTGTACGTTCTCCTTTTTAGATCTCAATTTTAAAGCAATATATATATATGGCTCTTAATGAAGTGTTGAATACTTAAAGGCTGAGCTCACACAACACACTGTACTATTTCTAAATTAAAACACCATGACTATGTTAATATAACAGGCTTTGCCCTGACAAATCATATTATCATGTCATGTGATGGTCTCGTTGGCCATGTTAATTCAATAGCTAGATTTCTACAGCATGCTAAGCCACAAATTTCCCAATCCCAATCTAACCAGGTTAGCATGTTGTATGAACTCAGACAGCGGAATGCTAAAAAGTCAGCTCTAAATGTAATTCATAGGCTCCAGCAACTTCAAATTGGTGCTCACCAGACATGCAGAGACTAGCACTCTCAGAATTGTAAGATTAGTACATTGGGGACACCAGCTTGCGGAGAGTTAGGCTGGAGGAATACTCCTATATTTTAGGAAGAGAGTGTGGGATCATTTAGTTTCTAGAACATTAAAAATACAGTGCATATAATTCATAGAATATACAGGTAGTCCTTGTTTAGCAACTGCCTTGGACAGCAACTGTTCACAGTTATGACGGTGATGAAAAAATAACTTTGCGACCAATGCCCGCGTTTATAACCTTCACAGTCTCTCTCTCTCTCTC